AGGTTACCATGGGCAGGCGCCTATTCCTTATCTCCCTCTGAAACCAGACTGTAGATGTGATTGTTTCAGGTTCGAAGAAGAGCGTGATATTGTTTTGCTCTGCTAATAAAGTAGAGAACCGTTAACCTCCTGTCCTGCCATTGATCGATCCCTTTGTGGGATGCGGCACGCATTCTACTTCCATTCAGAATCGTAGTGGCTTATTGAATGCGATGTGGCCTATACAATGACTTGCGGTGGCCAGCCGATGTACAAGTCAGTGTTTTATCCTCCCAGACGAATCTGGTAATTCGCTGTCCCCTAGGGGTAGACGGCTTGGTTGGCCTGGACGGGGGCAGGTCCCCAGATTTCACCCCGGACCGTGCATGAGGTAAGCGGATCGCCTGTCACAACACCAACTCCACCAAATTAATGATTCATGATAATAACAGATCACCAAATAACAATGAACGTTGATGACTGGAAACGATGGCACTTGGTAGTTGTGTGGGCAAAGCCACAGTCATTATGCTTTTCTTATTGGTGTACATGAATTTCTGAAAAGGAGGAATGCACCAATGAGGGAGGCAATAGGACAGGTCGCTACGCTACTGCGTCGTACAAAAGTGTTACTCGCCAGCAAATTTCAAAACAAAGATGGGAAAGGTTACTAGTTGAAGGAAATTCGCGAAGCTCAGTAGAGAACTTGTATAGATGCAGCCGCAGAACTAGTCCTCCACCTCCGCATCCTCAACAGCCTTTTAAGCTGCTGAGATAGATTGCTTAATTTGAAGATATTATCGCTCCAAGCACTGATTAGATGCGCGATTAGATCCTGTCCAAAACGACTTTTTTGAAAACCACAGAAATAAGAACTAGGGAAAAAGGGCCGTAAAAAGTGTTCGGTTCGAAAATAGTTTTGAAATTATTCGTTCCAGCTCCCATCCTCTTGCAAGCTGTATATGCGCTTAGAGGATGAGATAGAAAATAAGGAAAAAGTAACCGGTTCGTAGAGAGGTTTCTCCTTCCAATACCGGACATCTGTAATCAAGAGATCATGTGCGTCTTGTGAGCCTACCCCATTTTTAATCACTCAAGTCACATGGCACGCTCTTTGGGTGTCCAGATAAGTCTGTCTGACAGCACATCTTCATATATTCCTGATGACCGTAACCTTGATTTTGATGTCATTCGATTGCGCGTTTTCTTGGAGCATTTTGGTGTAGAACCTGCTATACTTATCTCCTCGGAGCTGTCTTTTCAATCTGAATCGTTACTCAGTTACAAATGGTCCTGTGGAAATATTGTGCAAAAATCCGAAGCTAGTGACAACAACTTCTGTCGCGCTCGGGCATCCACAGAACACCAATCCTGGAACTGCCCTCGAGATGGTAGCGCAGAATTTTCCAGCGACAAATATGCTGCTTTTAACAGGTCGAAGGTTGATTCACAGCTGTCGTTTCTAGCGCGAAGGAGCAGTGTTGCATAAAAATTATAGTTGTAGAGTAGGGAGCGGTGTTCTGCAGAAAAGAGAAGATAGATGAAAATGTATTTTTTTGATATCTTCAAATTTAGGTGGTGACGATGGCCGGCCGCGGACCAGATATGTATGCCACGACATCATATAAACCGAAGGAAAAAGCAACTTACCAGGGAAAGAATTGCAAGAAGCAAAATACAAAAGAGCTCCTATCCGTATCAAGTCGCTTTTAGCTCGAGTGTTCCCGTACGTAGTGCCTCTCCTCTTATTCGCCTCGTCACTTCGCCAATCATTTTTCTAGGTTTGCTATCGAGAACGTTCAGGTGATAGTGGCCAGATTTAACTAAAAATTGTTTTTTTTACGTGCTGAAGATCCCTGTTTTTCAGGGAGTGAAGGCTTTTTTACCGCTAGCTGAAGTTACGAACATTTGTCCACTTATTACCCGCTAGGCTATTCAATTCAGTTAACGAAATCTAAGTTTGGGAACAGTGCCAGAACAAGTGACAGGTTTTGAGAGAGATATCGAGGGTCTCACATTCCATTTCAGTGCAAAATAAATAGTATAGCTGATATCGTTGCAATCAGTCGGGAAGTGTCAGGTGTGGAAGTAAGCCCGCCTCGGCAGCGTTTTCTACCAATAGCGACCTTCTAGTGATTGATTCAGGAAGAGAACAACTTGGTAGGAAGCGCCGCAAGCGGATGCATTCTACATCTTCCGAAGCCACCCAGCCAGATCGCTTTTTACCACAGCAGGATTGTCGAAATCTTCAAGCCTGCTTCTTCTTCTTGAAACGAAATCCGAGAAAAAATCGAATATTTATCAAACGAATTAATTAACCAAAGATTTTCGTAATCTATCCTCGGCGTTGAATGCGGCGGATTTTTCTGGCGGCGCGGCGAAGGTTCCTCTGGTGACGGCGAGCGTGGGCGCGTCGTTTGTGTGCGGCACGACGCTGGTTGCGACGAAGACGACGAGCGAAGCGCTGAAGTTTCATGTTGGTCAACATTTCCTCCGCTGTTGGTAACTTCACTTACTCTTCGGTTGGCACGTCTGGCGGCGGCACGTCTGTTAGCGCGTCGTTTCACTCGTACTGTTTTCACTTCGGTTTCCTCGGCTTCAAGTTCTTTCTTGAAAACCTTGTTGATCTAAAGAGAAATGATGATGATCAAGAACTTTCAAGAGATATTTTACAGACAAATAAAAGAAGAGGGATAGTTAGGGAACGTACAAGTAGTCTGTCATTGTCGTTTTCGATTTTATCAAGCAGGGACTCCTCCTCTTTGCGAAGTGCACGAAGTTTGTCGAGCACAGCCGTACCATTTTCGCTAAGTTCCGTCTGAAAGCTACCCGTTCAGTATCCCTTATATCTCTACATGCGCTTGTCCAAGTATACGACCTCTTATAGGGTTTCTTCATGAGTTTGGAGTCATACCTTTTTCTCCGTAGATACCTTTTTCTCCGTAGCCTCCTCAGCAAATGATACTGCGGCGATCGCCAACAAGGCGACTGTGATGAACATCAATTTCATCTGGAAAAGGCACATGACATCAAGCGGGAATTTATTTGTGGAAAAAGAAATGAGAAAAATAGAACTAAGATGGTATATTTGTTCACTAATAAAGTATAGGACTTTTGCCAGGGCACATGCTGCTGCCAATCACGAGTCATAGTTACATGGCATCTCTA